CAGGATGGTGGCGGTGGTGGTGGTAGTGATGGGGGTTCATCTGCTGCTGCTGCTGTTGCTGCTGCTGATGGTGATGGTGATGGTGATGGTGCTGCTGCTCCTTCTGCTGCTGCTGCTGCTGTTGCTGCTGCTGTTGCTGCTGGTGATGAGATAGCAGCAGCACGAGCTGTTGCTGCAGCAGCAGCAGCAGGTGGTGGTTATTTAGGTATTTTAGATACGCCTGTCTTTGCTGTTCCTTTATATAAAGAAGAAGAAAAAGAAAAAAATAAAAATATAAATATAAATAAAAATATAAATAAAAATATAAATATAAATATAAATAAAGATGAGGTTAGTTTCTCTGTCTCCTCTTCGGGTATTTATTATATTATTTTTATAAACTGCGGCCCGTTTATAGATATGCAAATAAAAGGAAAAATAAAAATAAAAAATAGTTTTGGTTATATTGATGGATATTTATATATAAATATAATAATAAATATAATTATATTATGTTTATATATATTTATTTTATTTATATGGTTTATATATTTATATAAATATAAACAATATCTTATAAATATACATTTCTTTCTTCTTTTTATTATTTCTTTAAGTATAGCTGAAGAGACAGCTGAATATAGCTCCCTATACACCCAAAATAACCTAAACCCTAAACCCTTTTTCTCTTTTTTTTCTTTTCTTCTCTCAACAGTTAAAATTATTTTTCTTTATCTTCTTCTTCTTCTTGCTTCTATCGGCCTTCATATAACAAAACCAAATATAAATAAACAAACTAAAATTAAACTCGCTGCCGTTGCTGCTTCTTATTTTATTCTCTCTTGTCTCAGGTAAACCCTAAACCCTAAACCCTAGTAAACCCTAAACCCTAAACCCTCATAAACCCTAAACCCTAAACCCTCGAAACCCTAAACCCTAAACCCTAAATTTTTTTTTTATTTTCTTAAACAAACTAAAATTAAACTTGCTGCTGTTGCTGCTTCTTATTTTATTCTCTCTTGTCTCAGGTAAACCCTAAACCCTCATAAACCCTAAACCCTAAACCCTTAAAACCCTAAACCCTAAACCCTAAACCCTTAAAACCCTAAACCCTTGATAATAAATAAATAAATAAATAAGTAAACAAACAAACAAAAAAACAAAAAAACAAAAAAACAAACAAAAAACAACTAAATAAATGAGTAAATAAATAAATAAACAAACAAACAAATAAATAAATAAATAAATAAATTTATTTCTCTTTGTCTTTGTCTTTGTGCATGCAGACAAGCTTTATCTTCTTCTTCTTCTTTTGGTTTTTCTTCTTTTTTAAAAAATTTATTTTTTTTATTTCCGCTTACGGCGCTTAATATTTTTGTTTTCTATTGGATATTCTCG